CGGGTTTGGGTGGGGGGGGGGGGGGAGAAGGGGAACAAACCAACAAACCATGGTAGGTACCCTTAGGTAAATACATGACCAGTAGTCATTCAGAGGGCAATGGGCGCTCTCCCATAGCTTCATATTGGTGCGTAATGTTTATTATGCACAAAATATTAAAGCACATTCGTTGTGGAATGATGCTAGGTAGTTACGGATCACCCCCATACACAATTCAGCACAATGACGTTGCAAGCTATGGGCTATTCTCCAACCTTTACCTTTACCTTACATGTTCTTTTCTCTTTGCACACTGATTGGTAATTATTATCAGAAAAGTGTCTGTAAATGCCAAGTACTATAATCCTCATTTAAATCAAGCACACAGAAACCTAGAGTAGTGTTTTACGCTAATAATTCTACAACCATTACCACTAATTTATTCAGGTAAATTTTAGAGAGACATTTCATGAATAATACATAACAATGTACTATTACTAATGGACCCTTAACAATCAATCAAGGGTTTCACCTATAGGTTTTCATGGTATAAAAAAACTTGTCTCAATACAAAATTTTAGCTAAATTACTTATTTTACACTTTCGCTGTTGATCTCTCAGTGGAGTCCAAGGCCTTCAATCAACATGTTCAATATATACTTTACTTGTCAAATTTGATAACATTCATAACATTCAGCCTTTTAGAATTTTTCTTTCAAATGAATAAAATCAATATATCATAAGGTGTTGCACTGTTATCAACCAATGATCAAAGCTAAAGGATAGTAAATTACAACATTTGGATTAACATAAACCGAAATATCCACTGATTAACCTCAGATAAGAAAGTATAATACGTACTCGTGTTGGGATTCAATATTTCGACATTAATTATGTCATCATCAAGAATGATGGATTAACATAAGGATACAAGAAATATAATACAGTATACGAAAATACAAGACATAAGAATTAGGCCTACATGATAGCAAAAACTGAGACAACAAACGAAAATTAATAAAACATAACATATGTACAGTAGATACATAGACCAACAACATGGCAGAAATGACAGGCATAATTAAACATAAACAAAATAACAACAGAATTACAACATATTATTAGTAACAATCATAATTCTCTGTTTTGAAACAATGAACTTTTGTGCCCTTCCTAGAGCACAACAATAGAGAAATCACATCTATTAATGTATGAGCTAATCCCATAATCCTCTTTCCAAATCATCTAATTAATCAACATATTATTGTAGCACTATTTTTACATGAGTCACATTTAAATTCTTGTTGCTCTAAAGACACTGTTTTCACAATAAAGTTATCTATCTATCTATCAATATCAATACTAATCAATTAACTTATTTTACTAATCAATCTACTCCTTAGATTTTTATAAATCAATTAACTTCTTCCATTACTATGAATCCATCAACTTGGTTTCTACTAACTAGTATAATATAAATCAACTCCTTTGGTTACTATACATATCGCACTAATAACAATAATACTTACCCAGAAGCCTCAGGTAACGGTTCTGAAAAAGAGGGAAAAAGACAAAATATTTAGTCTAAATCATCAAATTATAATAAATAAGATAGAAGTCAGTGAGTGGTACATATAACAATTCAAATTTTTGCTGTGTTTGATATTGTGAAAATAGATATACAGTACAAAATGCCTGAAAGGGAAGCAACACAAAGGGAGGCTGACTTGGGGAAGTTGGCATTTCACATAACACACCATGCCGTTCCCATGCGTATCTGTTAGCTAGCAACTTTATTTTCACTTATTTTGTACACTGATTTATTTTTACTTGGATTTATATTGTGATTTTAATGTATATATTTCATATATGCATTAAAATATATGTATAAATTTGTTTAATATGAAAAACATAAATATGTTTTTCATAATTATTATCTTGATGTAAAGCGCTTTGTCACATTTAAGTTAAAAGTAGTGCTATATTATTATTATTATTAAGACCCAAATATTTCTTGAACATTTGTGACCAGCTCTGGCGAAAACCCACCATTTGTTGCAATTTCTAATTTCCCACAAGCACCCAAACTTTCGAGAATTAAAATTTAAAACATTGCCAGAGCCAATCACATTTTATTCTTTTTTGAAAACTTCAGTTTCAATTCCATATTAACTATAGAATTAGGTGATGGATGGAAATATTGGTTACTTCTGTTATTTTGGTTTGACTTGAAGACATACACTTAAATAATAATAATACAACACACAGCCAATAAAACAACAAAAGAACAGTAGTAGACAGCTTTTTTTATCTAGTCTGGTTGTACAACCTTCATAAAAATTGCATATAGTTAGAATGGTATGAGATGAACATCACAGTAACTAAATTATAATTTGATATTTAAGGAACCTAATTGATGTGCAAGTAAGATTGAAATACACTATTCCAAAAAAAAAAAAATCCAACTTATAATATATACTCAGATGAAAAAAAGACATTAATTTTAATAACGGTATAATGAGATCTTCAAAAAGAGGTTCAGTCGATGCAAAGAAAGTCTTCTTAAAAGCAACTTCAAGGTTACTTCAATGATATAGAAAAATTGTTTGAAGATCAAGATAAATGGTTTTTCCTTTGAAATTATCTTTGAAAGATTTAAAGAGAAAATCCTGGGAAAACAGGAAATTGTGGGAAAGGCATCAATGACTGCTATTGTCGCATGATCTCGCTTGTATGCACTATAACACTTGAATAGGAAATGAACATAAGTTACAAATTATAAAAAGGTATTCAGAAAATAATTAAAAATGTTCCTTGTGTAATAAATTTTCAATTTTTATTCTAAAAAAAATATAATTTATGAATAAATTAATATATATATACATTATTGCTGTTTTAAGAAGATATGTATCAATAGACATTAATGATGGCTGGATATTTGTTAAAAAAACTGGTACGGGGAAAAATCTTAAATTTTAACATAGCTGAAAAACCTTTGCACAAAACTAGTCCTTTATTCCTGTCGAGTATTATGATATACAGCAAAAGTTTTGGAGAGATTCTAATAATATAACCTTTTTACACTGCCAAGATGAAAATAAATCCATGTTAATTCTGGAATATTACCGGATGCATTTCCCTTTACATTAAACGAAAAAGTATGGGTAGATCTCGATTTCACTCATTTTACACCGGTAACTAACTTAAAATACCACCCTCAGTTTTTGTTGGTATGGTAATCATCCCTTCGCTCGAGTTCCTTGAGTCGTGATGGAGCCATAATTATTGTCAATACTGAAGCAATGTATCTGTAGATTTATTTTTTATTATTTGAATTAAATCAGCAATTTTGTTATCAAGTCTATACGGAAGTGCAGGAGGTTTAATTTGGAAAGTGTCTTGGCCTAGCCTGTTGCCAGCAAAGGTTAGGCCTACTTGACCACAGCTGCGTTAGGCGCCAGCTAAGGCCTGCAATCCGGAATCAAATTCAAGTGCGGTGTTCGGCAACTCGAGTCATATTTTTTGCTGTTTCCACTAACCACAACTCCAGAGTTTTTAGCCTGGGTTGTTCCTAGAGTTTTTTGCTTGCAGTGTAAAACAGTGTAAAAGGGGTAATATAATATTATAATAAGCAATGATTTCATTTAAATTTGTCGGTATAAATATATTAAGAATATGATATTTCAGAGTAAGAACTGTCCAGTATATTTATCATCTTGTATTTCTAAGCTTACTTAAAAAAATTCTAGATACATATTGAAATTTAATCTTGCTGCCAATAAAATGTTTTTGATTCGTTCGTTCTCTAACATTTTTATAGCCTTCTTAATCATTCCAGAAGCTGTTATTATAATGCTGGTTTATTTTATGAACACACGATTTGAACAACTATCACCATCAGCCACCGGTCTGTACTCAAACTCCCAGATCCATAAACTTATTAGGCCAAATAAAATTGATTGCTGGTTTCACGTCCCCGCCCTCATCAAATTTTAGAGCCTCATGAAAACATTTATTGTTCGTGATTTTTCAAAAAAATTCCTTTTTCCATGGAAAATAAAAATAATGACTATCTGAAAAAATGATATCAAGCATAAGAAGAGCTGGGAACATAAATAGCAGAAGAACATTATAAAGATTCATTTTACTTCTTTTATAAAAAAATACTGGAGGAATCTTTAATCGGAGGCGGAACTTGCATACCAAAATTAAATAAACTTAAAAGGCTGCTGGGACGATGTTTGCCCCTCTCATCTCCCTGTTTAAAAAATGCTGTCTACGAATCACATACTGTACTACTCAGAAAGATGTAAGAACTATTAGTGTTAAGATAATTGAATTGGAAAAGATGAATTTTAAGGAAATTTTTCAGAAATTGAGATTTATGAAGGTTAGTTTTGAAAATCAAGATAAATCATATTTTATTCATGAATCCTTGCATTATTTAAAGATGTTCTTCTTTACAACTTGAATTGTCCGTATCGTCTCTTGACAACTTTCCATTACCTTCGCTTCTTTATAATTCTGATTTCCATTATCCTTCAAGAGAACGCATGTTGATGAAATTAAAAATCAAATAGTAAATATCCTCACCAAAAAATAATTTCAAATTCCGGACGTGAAACTAAGTTTATTTGGCCTTAAATGAGGCCCAACATAATAGTTTATGCATTCAGTTTGGTGTTCACTATTCTGAACACAAAGACCCTAAACCCCTTTTGTTGTAGATTAATGACACTCATTACTGAACTGTCACAGATTATAATATTCTTTAATTAATCTGCCACATCAGGCAGTCACTCAGGAAATTACCTCTATTTAAACCCAGGTGATGTATAACTTAAGTCAGCCAGTTAAAAATATGATAGTACTGCTGACTTATTATATTTGTAGGGCATCAATATATTGAAAATTATTTTTAATAAAATTACTTCCTATTTAAATGAACATATAGACAAACCCAAATTTACAACAAAGAATATTTTTTAAGGTAAAAGAACTTTCCTGTCAGTGACAGGATTTCTTCTAACGATCACAAACAACTCCACCTCCCCCTCCCCCTCAGCCTCATAACGAGACTTGGTTTATGTAAAGCATCTTGTGTAAGGGGTTACTACTCAGACAGTAATTAAGTTCGCTAATCCCCCTTGGCCCATGTGCCTATATAATGAGTAAAATAAAATAAACAATTTTGTCACAGTTACTATTCATCAAGGACCAATAAAATGGTAAAATCTGGCAACAAAATAAAAATAGTAAGTTACTGGACATTAAGCTGTGTCTATAAACCATAAACTTTTACTTATGTGACAAATGCTTAAACATGGCCAAATCACAGATATTTTCCACATAAATCGTAATACCGTAGTGTGTACAAAAATTAATACCATAAAACCTTGAATAAAAGCCTGGGCTTTTTTTTTTCTTGGACTATTGAATGGGCTTCTTTTCAAGTGTACAAAGTAAAGAGGGGCTTCTTTTCAAAATGTATGCTTTTAATTTTAAAAATTACTACTATAATAATATTATATCATATATATAATATATACATTCATATAATATTCAATCACAGCATCAGACAGAACATCAGTCTGTATCATGGAGTATATTATTTGACATTAAATCACCTAAACAAAGGAGGTGTAAATAAATTTTATACCTCCTTCCCTAAACTACTGAAATTCATCTGTTTCTTTGAAATCCATGTATGTAGTATAATTTAGGCATGCTGTAGTATCTCGAAAAGAAGCCCATGGGCTTTCTATCGAAGATGGGCTTCTTTTTGAGATTAATTTTGCAAACAGAGGGGGCTACTTTTAGAGATTAAGTCTAAAGGGTTCTTTGCAAGGTTTATGGTTAAATGCTGTATGGTAAAGCAGATATATTTACCCTACAATCTACAAATAATGTTAAACACAATAAGAACAAAACCACTGATTGTTTTACGATCATAAAAGAGTTTCCTGCTTACTTTTTTAAAATAGAAAGTCTTTCACTTTTTTAACAATGATGTCTTGATAAAAAATACTTGTATGCTTCCTATTAACTGCAACTTTTTCAGTAATTACAATAGACTACATATGGGATTTTGTGAAAGCTAAATCCTTGAGTATTTCAATAGTGAACTGACTTATTGTGCATAATTTCTTAATACATTTAATTGTAATGTATCAGGGTGGATGCAGGATGTTTCTGCCAGGGAAAGTACCTCTAATATCCGAAAAGACAGGGTTGGACAGTTCCATAAATCTACTTTCAAAGCTATTCTATTTTTTGTTTTTTACATATTTCTTTTTCACAAGTCAATGAAAATCCCAGTCCTAAAACAAGTTCATAGCTCATATAATATAATGACATGATAGAATCTGTCATTGCCGTACAGTGGCAGATCTAGGGGGTGAATAGGATGGCTAGCCACCCCCTTCGGTGACCTCGAAAAAAATATATAGTCACTTGTCTTGTTTGTGCTTCTCGTGTATACATGTTAAATGTAGTAGGTTACTCTTGTAATACACTTTCTATTTTAAGCTTAACTTCTTTTCAGATGTCATCAAAGAACATCTAGCTGTCAACTAATCCAAACAAATCTCAAATGGAAGGGAATGCCTCTCTCTAAACCCATGATCAAGGAGGGACAGGGGGACACGTCCCAAAATATTGTTAAGGGGGTGGGGGTTGGTCCCTTACTTTTCGTCCACAATGTAATAATATCATAAGTCAAGAAGATGCCTGAAAATTGTTGAAATGAACTGCATAAATGACCCAGGTTTTAACGAAAGTGTGCTGTACAATCGGTACTCTATCTCTGCCCACAAACATCTGAATCACTTATAATACACAAAGTATGAGAAAAAGTGTGTAATTACCGGTAATAATAATAAGATTGGTTTTCTGCACATGGTAAAGTAAATTAAAAATACATCAATGACAATTGAGTTTTATTTTCAATGGAACATCACAGCGATTAATTTAATCGATGATGATAAATTTTATTATAACAGAGTGTCATTTCCGGTAATCTAGGTACTATTTCCCCAAATGTTCCCACCTCTGCCCTTATGTGGACAAATGGCTTTGAAGTAGGTATGCCTAAATTAAGTACATTAAAGACAATGTTTTTAATATTTATCTTCTATAGTACATTACACATATATAGATATCTATGGTTGACGAAAATCATGAGAAATTTGTTGACGCTTCATTTTCACTATATAATGGTTATTTGATGACGATGAATTTTACTATATAAAAGTATCATTTCTGGTCATCTAGAGCTACTATTTCCTAAAATTTTCGCACCTCGGGCACAACTATGGTGGGCCTCAGGTGGGTGTGGACTCACAAAATGTCTCCCCTCACCTTTGGAAACAAATCTTCACCCTAGTAAAAACCACGCCCTCCCCACCCGGTTGGTGCTTCGCAAATCGCATTCCACCCTCCATTGCTAAATTCTAGATCTACCACTGCCATATTATACTTTTACCTACGACCTAGTTTACATACAACATTACCGGAGAATTGATTTTTGTTCTGTTTGGGAGGTCAAGCTTAAAGTCAAGAACAACTTTACTTAAGTCACACTAATGATGAAAACAATTTAAGTCAATAATGCATCCTGCTTCCTTCAATGCTCTTTTTCAATATTAATCATCCATCTTAAAATTTGTGATCAGTATTGAGAGCTAAAAAATGTATGTAATACTCTCATTTAAAAATAAATGTATAGGGTGATGAAGATGTATGAAAATGAATGCTTTTGTTCTATGATAAAAACAATATTATCTTTTCACTTAATGGTCTGTTTTATTAGCTAATCTACTACTATAACAACAGCAAAGATGCAGTTCTTATGGGGAGAAAAAATATTCCCTGATGAAATTATTGTCCAGATCACATCACAAATACTGTACAATATATAGAATGGCTACTATTCATCAGGTTTAATATTGTTATTAGTGATAAATCCCTATAGCAACCAAGTGTTTACCTGGGGGGCCCTTTGCTCTTGTTCGTCTTCCTTCGCCATCATTGGAATCCTAAAAAAGAAAAGAGCAAAAAACATAATCTTATTTATTTTTGGTATTAGTTTACTCTAAAAATCTCCATGTAGGTAGTTAAACTGGAGGTTGATCTTTATTTTTATCTGACAATGTAGGCTACCTACACTAGTCACTAATAAAGTACAAGAATGTTTTAACTATGAAAACAATTATAAGTAAACAATCATCTCATTTATTAAAAGTCCATCATGTAAACACATGGCTTAACATACAAAACAGTATTATAATTACACTGATGTGGGTTTGATCAAAAAGTATAGATAGCAAGAGGTCCTAACTTTTTTTATTTTGCATGCACCCAATAAAACGAAAAACAAAGTACTACCACAAGATAGGGGGCGCCCTATTAGTATTTGAATAAAGTTTGAAACTCGAACATGCAATCTATAGACGAAGTATGTGTTCGGTACAAACACGTTTTAAGTTCTTTTGAAGGATGCCCCCTAGTTTGTGGTAGTCTTTGAGATAGGATTCTGTTTTAATGAAACCTCAGCACTCTTTGGTTTGATGTACAGGTACCCACACAAACTGATGTTTGTTAAATAACACAAAATTCCATGTGGATATGGAATGGCATATCAACATGGAAATCTGTGTTAACTAACACAGAGTTCCATGTTGATATCGATAGCAGAAACTTGTCATTATCATTAAACATTTCAAATTATAATCCTTTAGGAAACAGCTAATGATTTGCCATTTACACGTTTTGAAATAACATAATGCTTCATAAAACATATATCCCTTTCATTCTAAAATTTAAAAGGAGGCAAACATTTTTGTCCATGTAAAACATTCCTGGCCTTTTTACTTGATTTTAACCCACGACACTAAGATTGGAAGGAGGGTATCTTACTATAAGCTTCGCTGCCATGTTTTATGTCATAAAATACTAGTGAAAATTGAACTGACCATAAAAGTTCCTACAGTATAAAAAGAAACTTTACCAAAACTTTTTAGTTCTACTTAACCATTCAGTATCTGAACAAAGGCAGTAATTTGTAAAAAGTACAAAGAGAATTAACAGACATTCAACAAACAAAATGCACCAAAACTAGTAGTTATTCTCTTTAATCATGGCTTGAAAGAAACTAAATCCAATAACAGGAACGTTAAACAATTCCATTTCCACCCCCCCCCCCTAAAAAATCTGCAATAAATATGACTGTCAACAAAAGAAGACAAAATCCATACTGGATATAACCATCACCGCTTAACAAAGAATTTGAAATAAAACAAAGAATGGAGCGATTAGAATGTGAAAAGAGCCAGTCAGCGTGTAATTCAAGCTCCAAAACTCTTGTACTTGTATGAAAACAAGCGAATGGACTTAGTTTAGTTGCCACAAAGACAATCGATATACCTTTGTTCAAGTTATGGATTGCTAAAAATACCTAAAACTAATAAAAAGTTTAATCACAAATGAATTATTATTGCCCTTGATTGGAAGTTTTGAGAATAAATTTTTGATAGAGAATAATAATTTTATCTTTACTATTTAATTTCTGACTGTATAATAATATTGGAACATGCTGATATACCTTAGGACATATAAAAATAGGTTTGTCATTTTGCAAAGTTTATTCCTAAAAATTACTTCAACAAAATTACATAAAACACAACAAAATTAGAAAATAATCAATTATTTTCATCATAAATTTTGTACAGAAAAAATGCAAATTATAAAAGTTCTTCTATAAACATTTCAACAAAGTTTAAAGTTCATATTAACTTTTGTTTGCATAACAAATACAAATTTATCAAATTAAATCACACAAGGCTTTTATTTATAATTTAAATAACAAAAGGAATGTATCCTGATAATTTAAGTGACTAATATTTAAATGAAAATAGCAATTAAATATTGAAAAATCTATGGAATTCCAGTCCCGATAATCAAATAATATATGCATAAACTTTTCTCATGATGCTTAACAATGAAGTTTAAAAATGAAACTTACCCTACCACAGGTGGTGGCCACGGTCATATCAATAACAAATAAGTCGTCACGAGGAAATATATAATCCCAAATAAAAAATCATGTGTACACTCAATACCCAATGCACTATTCTTGCGTGCATATGTAAATCCAGACGTTTAAATGTAATAAGTATATCCACGTTTGGCATCCCCTTTCCACAGAAAATATCCAATGTATGGTTTACAGAAAACAGTAGAGTACAAAGTCCCCCTGGCATTAAATCTCACATGCCCACTGACCAATCAGAAAGCAACATTTATAATACAGTAGGTTGATTCCATTTCATGTGACCATCAGCTATCAGCTCACAACTAACAATATAGTTCTCAGCCTGATGGACTGACCAATCAGAGTTGAGTATCTATAGGTTGATTCCACTTCTTGTTATTATCAGCTTTAATGCAGTTCTCATCATGACTGCCCAATTATAACAGAGTATTTGTAAATAAGTTAAGTTGATTTTACTGTACTTCTATCAGCTCAAAACTAATAATGCCCTTCTCAGTATGATTGATATCTCTATTATTATTATTATTATTATTATTGTATTATGGGTATGTCCGATAATGTTGGAAGTCGAACAACTTCAAAAAGGAAATTATAAACAAATACAATGTTTTTAGGTGTAAAATGAAAAAAAAAAAATGTTATGATATCAATAACTGTCTTGTTGACCTCCAACACAATCCATAATTTGTATATTTTAGCAATTATATTTAGCTTGCCACTCTACAAATACAATTTATAATACACTCTGCAATATGGCTGCTTTTTATCAAGTTTGTAACTCATAAATTCATGACTTACTGTATAAGGGGTATTCAATTTTTTTTTAAACATTTTCAAAAGAATAAGAAACAAATCCTGAAAGAGTACTCAATAAAACGATAATCATTTTGAGATCATCATTTTAACTGTATGGGTCTACACTGTTTTTAAACTCCCTAAAACGCATCTTTTGTACTCTCGCAAAAACAGTGGTGGAATCAAGGCACCTTCCCATCCCCCTGAATTTTTCAAAATTATAAAAAATTGGAGAAAAAAATAAAATTACATTAAAATTCTAAGTCTGAGAGTGCCATTTCCAGCCTTCTAGAGGTGACATAATCATAAATTTTCTTACCATGGTGGGTCTGAGGTGGTATAGACCCTCCATCTGTCAAGCCCCTCCCTGACCCCCCTCTACATCAAATTCCTGGATCCGCCACTGAAAAATACAGTAACGAAAATAATAGATGATCTTTAAGTTAAATGATAAAGAATGTGTTTGATTGAGAGTTACAGTACTATAAGTAGCATACGGAATAAAGTAGCATAATTGTACAACACATGCTGTAAGTAGGAAACTACCATTTCTATCGACAAACTGTTACTTATTTATTATTACCTGATTACACATTAAAACATAGATTCAGCATCGTGATATTAGATGACAAAATCCTGTAAGATGTTAATCATATCTTTGATATTATGTTAGCAAAACCTAACACGATATCCAATATTCCATACACGTTTCAGGAGCTTGGACTAAGAAGATCATAATATATTAATGGTGAAATGAAATAAAGTTCAACCAATCAGCACTTCACAAGCTAAAAGGTTCACCGCACACTTGACCTCACAAGTTCAACTTTTGGCAATTATTTTGGGATAGATAATAACAATTTCCCTCAGCATTTTTTTCTACTTTAATGTATTTTGATTTGATTGATACTTTTTGTAAAATGAAATTGCAGGTTGGCAACACTACATTTGTGTGGTGGACAAGTGCAATTCTTGGGAGAACACTGTACTGTCGTTTGTAACAATAGAAGCCCTCTTTAGAGAAGATCTAAACACACGATTCAAACAAATAAAGACCTTAAACAAATTAACAAAATAATCAACACTTTAAGCAATAATGATTGTGAGGGCTGAACTGTAATAGAGTGGTGGCACGTCTAATGGCTGGACCATGCCAAAAAGGCCAAAAGAAGAAAATTGGATTTGATCGCAGTGAGACATTAGAGTTTGCATTATTAACTCACCTGTAAATCCTACTGCCAACAAATATTATCTTATATTATTATTCTTTCTTGTGTAATTAATATCTTTTAAAATTATTTTGTTTTATTGCCTGTGCTGTACTTGCAACGATAAACAACTTTGAAGAAATTCCATAAAACAGGGAAAGTTAAAAATAGAAATTAATACAATTTTGTAATAATCCTACTTGTAGTATTGTAAGCATTTAGCATGATGAAGTACAAAGTATCAAGTATTTTGAATGCTTTCAAGGTATTAACAAAAGATTCAGTTGCAGTTAACCTGGCCTTGAAAAGAAAAACAATATTGCCAGGTCCAAAGATGAGGATATTTAGATTGATAGAAACCAATACTATACTGAATACATGTGTCCAATTTTTTATTATGGCCCAGATAAAAAAAAACATGACAATACTACTCCGTACAAAGAACAAAAATGAATAATTGAAATCATGTTTCTGAAAGATTGCAGAGTTAGGAAATGAATAATGCTATGAATTTTTAAAAGAAAAGTTATTCTAAAGTAGAATAAAAAGATTTTCCCCTAGATTTATTACCATTACAATTTCCTATTGAGAAGTACTTCTCATTTTTTCTACTTCAACATGACAAATTTACTTTTAACTTTCACAATATTTAAAGGGTTTTTTTTTTATAGAAAAATACAAATTATATTATATGTTTAAGAAAATTTTTTATTTTCTTCTGAAAGTGCTAAACATTATTTTAGCTTTAATTTCTTATAAATTTGTCTCCAACCACAGTTTTAACTTCATCAAATCCATCATACCACTGTTAACAAGAACTACCTACCTTTAATACTTTGCAAAAGTATCCAATATCACGTTCATAATGCCTGGTCTATTTTATCCTCCAACCACAACCACAAAACCATCTTCTTTGTGGTGATCAACTGGTACCCCCATTAAAGTACAACTGTTTTTTTTTCCACACAAGTATAAACATGTTCACATGAGAAACAAACATTCTTGGATTTTTAGCACAATGGCCTGCATAAAACAATACCATAAGGATAGAAACTCAAACATCCCACATGTTGTACTCAAATCCTGATGAAATTACACAAACTGAACTAACAAGCAGATTCCATATTAAAGAATGTCCCTATGACACCAGATCTGAAAATCATTTAACACTACCCAAACCAAGAACAGATTATAAAAAATTTAGCTTATCATACAGAGGTGCTAAATTATGGAATGAACTTAGTGATGACCTCAAAAACTTAAATACAATTTCCAATTTTAAAATGAAAATAAAAATCAATTAAGTATTATAGTTAATGATACAAGTTTATTTATGATAATTCAGTTTAGTTAATGTATTAAGTTTCTTTCAGTAGGCCCTATTGTGATTTTCTTTTTTAATAAGTCTATTTTTACCTTTTTGTTTTAATTTCTGTTTTGTCAAGTTGTACAATGCCTTTACAGTCTTATTGAAAAACACCATTGTGGTGAATAAGTGTTTCCATGGTTAAATAATGTTTTTATATTATTATTATTATTACTATTATTATAGAAAACACAATTTTAACATTTTTAATCCTGAATCAACTTATAAACAATTGTTACAATGGCATGTCCTGCCTGTTCAAAAGATTCAATTTAATTAAAAGTAAGTTATTTGATTCCTTTTCCAGTTCAAATACAAACAAAAACAAAAAACAGAATCATAACAATTCGGGGCAACAGCAAAAAGGCACAGACCCAGGAAGAAAAACTCTTGTGGAGGGTGAGCCTGAAACAATACAAAAAAATGGGACACAAAAACAAACAGAAAGAAAGAGGACATGGACAAGACAGGTTAAATAAGACACAACCGAAAAAAGAAAACAAACAATTCAAATTAGACCAAGAAACCGAGCACAATTAAAGTGAAAAACAAGAGGGATAGAAGGTGTTTTTTTAGCTGGATATGATGAGCCTCAAATCATCATTCTACACTACAAATATGAACATCCTGATGACTAACCAACCTGTACATTCATGTGTATACTCACTTATTACTTGTACACTTATAATGTACTGTACTACTTTATCTTATTTATTATCTTAATTTCTTTCTACTACTTCCATAACTGACCTTATCATTTAAATAAATAAATGCAAATTACTCGTAAAATATTTATGGTAAAGAAATAAATATTCGATCCATTGCTTTTTATTTTCAAATAATCATATTTCCATCAGAAAATAAGTGTACTAAGAAGACACGTATACTAACATAAAACAATAAAGTGGTAATAAACCGACAATTCCAACCTAAATTGTACATACTAAAGTAAGCTGTACATCTCAACTTATTTTCCTAGTTAAGTTGAATGTAGTAAAATAAGTTTATGTTACATCCCTGTGTTATAAATGGTATAGTCTAGTAGATTTGCCTGTCTGTAATTGAAGGAGTACAGAACGACCAAGAATCAACAAAAGAACTACTCCCACTTTCATAAATCATCGTTCAAACGCACGCTAAATTATTGATCCAAAATCTTTTCAACTCGCTCTCAAACACAAGAAAAGGAAACTCCTATAGTAGCTAGCTGTGTTTGTTAAAAATCTACTTAATTTTTTCATCTTTCATTCAAATAGGACACTCCCGGCTTGCTCAGCTCTCTAAAAAATTAGTTATCCCAGCGTTATCTCATAGCTTACTACGTTCCCTTGAAAACTACTTACAGGGTGTACGTCAACACTTAAAATTGAAATTTTTAGCTTGCCCTTCTCTAAAAATTAGTTAAATATTACATCATACCCTTAATAAATGAAACTCTAAGGTTGGTGCATTCCCCATAACTACTTAGTATAACACCTTACACTCAGAAGCCACTTTTTACCTTGCTACTTCTCTAGATAACTATTTAAATATTTGTTGTGTGCTGAAAACAAAATAACTAGCATCTTTGACATTTTATATTATAGAAAACAATTTAAATATAATTATTACAGAAAACTATTTAAATATAATTATATTGTTATTAGTATGGTAACACCTTTACAAAAAGCTAAAGTTTACTTAAATACCCATTAAACCCATTATAAATATTTTGTACGAATTACGAAACGTGCTATAATAATAATAATAATAATAATAATAATAATAATAATAAGAATGTCCAAAATTTTAACAATTTGCTTATTTAACTGGTTCATTTCA